CCATTTATTTTTCCTGCGGCTTTTTTTATCTGATCTTACTTCGCATTTCTGTGCTAGGGGTTAAAAGAAACCAGTCAAACATGATCTGCAAGCTTGCATGGCTCCGGCGTGCCGCCCAATCTCTCTCTCTCTTTCTCTCAAACACTTTTTTTTCGCAGAGAGTGAAGGGAGGTCTGTGCAATATGACTTCACTCGGCATTCTCAGCAACCCAAGTGATTTGCCTTTCACCGCTAATGACCAAATTCTGAGGGTGGGGGCCTATCAGATCATGTTTTACAACGCGGCTTGGCGATGTTTAAACAGCAACAATAACAAAACAGAAAGCCCAGTTGAGAGGGCATAATTCAATATTATACGATCTGCACTGCACCAAATGTAGTGCGATTTCTGAAGGTGCCTTTTTTTCTCTCTCTCCCTCTTAAAAGAAGAGGACGCGGTTGCAATGTTGCAGAAAGTTTTGTGCATTCGGTGTGTCTTTAATGGGAGTTTTATTTTGGGGAGTAGAGGTTTGGAGGTTGATGTGGGGTGCAGTTGTAACCGGAGATCCAGTGTGTGAAAGTATGTGTTCAGCCGGCTGCGTTTAGTGTCCTGTTAGCAAGCCAACATGGCGGCGTGTAATATGTTGCCGAGCCCGAGCAAGCTGTAATAGGAAACACATTTCAAACCCCTTTTTGCTATTCGTCTACAGAGCGGCTCCAATAAAACGATTAGCAGCAGGATCTGTGTAACGGCTTATTTATTTATTCCTTTGCAATCGCAGGCGAGGGCGATCCAAGGGGAAGGGATTGGGATTGGCGGGGGGGGGGGGGGAGGTGGTGTGCTTGCTGTTGGTGGGGGTAGACTGTTGGTAGTGGTGAAGGAGGAACCTCGGGTCTGGAAGTGCAGTTGTCTTTTTTTTCCGCTGAAGCCACCAGATTTTATTCCTTGCAAACAGTTCTCGAAACACACACACAAACACACACACACACACAAAAAGGCCCCGGCGTTTCACGCAATCCCATTGTGGTTTGTCATTTAAATATGCAAAAACAACAAAATCGCCCATCCTCTCAAGGCAATCGTCTTTTATAGGGGAGCCGTTTACTCGCCGCAAAACACAGCGATACAAAATAGCAGTGTCTCTTTGCATTGGCAGTTGTCTCTTTACCAAATCTGTTTACATTGCTCCGCTCCTCATAACATGCATCCTCTTTCTGTTTCTCCGTTTCAAAATCGGGTTTGGTGGTAAAGAGCGAACGGGTTAAATTCAGGCCGGTGCTGCTCAGCTTTCCTGGTGTGAGGGCAAAACTAAGACCCAAAAACGCGAGCGATTTAAACAAAGTTTGCATCCGCGGTGCCATTGACTTCAGGGGGGAGAATGTATTTACAGCTTTCGAGACGCAGACACGCTCAGAATCTTAAAACCCTGCTCGCATTTATTTATTTAAACTAGGCTGAAAGTTGTTTCAGACGATTCTCTCACCCCCCCCCCCCACCACCCCATTTTCTCGAATTTCAAAGCCTCCCTACTGCGCTGTTACCTAATTAATGGTGAAACGCAACTAAAGCTAATTACTCAATAATTTTAAAGCAGTTAAGGCTGGGCGTTGGTTGTAACAGGATTCGAGTTAGTTAAGAAAAAAAAGTTTGTATGGCTGTTAAGCTCATTCAATGTAAATACATATTTTTAAAAGTATCGCTTGAATATTCTTTAAACATAGGGCCTCGAAAAGGTTTTTTTTAAATTTAATTTCAAAACATTAAGCACGGGAGAATATCTGTGATGTCTTTCAAAATTTGAGTTATACATATATAGTCCAATGCACAATTCATTTTAATGCACCTTTCAACTCAAAGATGATTGCCATTATATTCACAACCTCAAAGGGACTGGGGATGCAATTTTGCAACAATTTGTATCATGCTTCTCGTGGGCTGATTTCAGTTGACAACGCGTGTGCTGGGTTTGAACTCTATAATTTGCTCTTATGTCCCCGCATTAGGAGCGTACAGTGAACTAATGAGCGCTTGCTTCTCCGAATGTCACATTTATTTATTTTCTTCTGCAGAAAGTTTGAGGAAAAGCGGAGGGTTTGCACCAAGTCCCAGCCGTTCCTGGTAAAGCACCGGACACATCCATACAGACAGATACGCACACACTTCATTCCTCGATGATTTTGTTTTAAAGAGTGTGATCTGGAATGGTGCTGTATTCTGTCACTTACCTTACACTTTTAAAAAAATGAAGTTTGACCAATAATCGTGTAAGAATAGAACAACGCACGCACATACACACTTGCATCCAGTCTTAGTATGTGTAGAACTTAATACTGACATTGCAACGACAGGAACGAAAGATGGACAAACAGAGCTGTCTGGATTTTAAATAAAGTGCAATTCTTCAAGAAACCCTCTGTTCGGCTTGCAGCGATGACAACATACCACTAGATAGGATTCAATACGTTTTACACAAGTTTTTTTTTGCTTTCCCCCCTCCCCACCCCGAGATCCCTCCACTCCCTCCTCCCCAGGAGGTTGTCTATCTTAAGCAGTTTTACCTTTTGAGAGGAGATGGCATAAATCTCTTGACAAGGGAAGTGTTATTGATTACATTGTTAAGATACAAGCAGACACACGCATTTTGTGTCCTTTACAGACTAAAGACTGGCGTAAGTTTATTTTAAAATATCTAATTGAGAGACGTAAACTGCGCTAGGAGAGGAATATAGGGCGCTACAATTCCAGGCCTTTTTATCTGAGCACTCAGATGCTATGCCGCCTAAGGTGTGTGACTGAAAAGATTCTCCCGTCGTGCCAAAAAGGGCTGTTCATTCATATCCCTGTGTATATATATTTGATAGCGGTTTGATGCGGTGAAGCACTTTTTGGAAGCACGATAACCCGATTACCACTAACTTGTGCCTTTGATGCTCCAATTCTAAATTTATGTAATCAGACTCCCCACGCTCTTTCTAAAGTCTTTTAATAAATGTCTATTAAAGCGCCACAAAAACGGGATAAATTTACTGTAGCTGCCGCCTTACAGGAAATAAATGCTAATGATGGATTTACCACCAGGGATTCGCCTTCAACTCCACCAGACTGCTGTTCGCGGCCCAGTCCTCTACAACTCAAAGCTTCCACACTATTTATTTTCAGTTCAAATTGACATTTCTTCGGAGGGGAATTAATTTATTGACAGCACCACGAAATAATGTTTCCCCTCTCTACTCCTCCGACTTTTTTTTTCCTCATAAACGAGTGATTTGCGAATCCCTTTGTGCAAACTTTTTTTGCAGGCTTCATTGAGATGTCTCTGTTCTGCTTGTCTGTCAAGTTATCTCTATGCACACAAAGAAAGTGCTTCTAAATGGACTTAGTGCTCAGCGTGTGTGCTCTCTAAATGTTAGAAAATTGTGCCATCTACCCGTTATCCACAGAATTGTCACTTAAGGACCTACTTCGAGTTTCAACCACAAGTTAAACTCAACAGGAGCGGGACTGATTCAAAGTGGAGGAAGGCTATATTACCTTAATGCTTGCATTCAGACAGAAGTTAACTGCTTCACTTGATTTTTTCTCCTGTTTCTCATATTAATAATGTTCAGTTGGATTAAACCCAGCCTATCTTACCCACCTGTTAGCCTGAAATGTAGCAACCAACGTTTGAGGACTGTGTAAGTTGCACAGAAATTTGAACACCGCTAAAGCTATATCCAATAACATATTTTGTTCCATTATTTTTACGATGAGGCATCACTGATTTGTTTCCTCGGGGAAAAACAGGCTCCTGTTTTTTAAAAAAATCAGTTCTGGTATTTCCAATAGCGAATAAGGTGCGCACACACTAAAGGAGTAATGCACAGGGATATAATTCGCAGGCGTGAGGGGATTACGTTTGCTCTACCCACTAAGCGAGAATTTAAACAAATCATCCTCGTATTATCAGAAGTGTTTCCCCGTTTCTTCGACTTTTAAGTCCACGGGCACTTCTATATTCATCCTACTGATGAGAGGAGCACACCAATGTAGATTGAATGGTATCAGACACCAACAGTTTTTTTTTGCGTTGGAACTGATGTCAATGCACAGACAAGTACACTGAGCCGAGTACATTAATAAGGAAACCAGTTTTGTAACTTTGGCGCTCCGGTTCGAGAATTTCGTTGCAAGCACTTAGCAACTCGTATTGGAGAGCAGATATTCCCCAAAACGGGCTCAAGGGTATAGGAAACGTTCCTCCAAATTTCAGTCGTTATTCCCAACACTTAACTGAAATAACTCAGAGCTAATAATTAAACAGACCCTAGAGTTTGGACGGGATTTTACAATCAAACAAGCATTTTTGTTGCCTGTTTCTAATTGCTAGACGAGATTATGTGAATGCTTCGGAGATGCAGCCTAAATTGTTAACAAAAGTTGCTGGTTGTTGAGTAGCTGCGTGCTAAAGATGAGGCTGATTATATCATTGCTACGCACCATAAATGAGATGTTCTGGGATCTGAGGGTCAACCATCGATCCCTTCCTATGTAACGAAAGGACGGGTTAATTTTCTCTCATTAGCATTCCCATTGCACAAACCTACAGATTGACAACTAACACATCTGCTCTGTGCTTAATTTTTTAAAAAAAACGCCTTGCCCAAGTCAGAAAACACAAGTCTTATTTTTTTTTGTGTGTGTGCCTTTTGCTAGTTGTGGAAAAAAAACACACGATGACACCCAGTCATTCCCTGCTTTCCAGTCAAGTATTTGTCTCAATTCCACCTTTTTTTTGTTTTATTATTTCTTTTTCCCTCTTTTCTCTCCCCTTCATCCCCGACGTCCAACCACATTCTGTCTTCTCACACCCTCACCCTTCCTCTTTCTCTATATCCCAGCGCCTTGATGTTTTGTTTGCTCTGTGAAATAGACGAGGTTTCGTCGGCACCAAAGTGGCAAAGTTCAGATTGAGGGAGAGGGTGAGAGAGAGAGAGAGAGAAAAAAACTCCATCAAGACGAACAAAAGGATGCCTGGGCTTGGAAACTATAGCATGGATATGAAAACCGCAGTTTCGACTGGTGTGTGTATGCGTGTGTGCGTGTGTCTGTGTGTGTCTGTATGTGTGTGTGTCTGCGTGTATTTTAAAGGTTTCTTTGAACTGCCTTTGTGCTGAGTCGGCGCTGCTTCTTGCCAATGCAAGTCACGGTCATACGAACTTTGTGTTAACCTTTTATGTCGAATGAATCTTTTCATTTGGAAAGCCATAAATCTCATTCCGTAGCTCCTTTTGTGCAGCGCGCTACGACTTAGTAAGCCAAGTGTGCGTTCAACAACAAAAAAAGTAGGAAAACAAAAGTTGCAACCGATAGAAAGTATAACTTTAAAAGCAAACAAAAAAATCAGATTCCAGTGTAAAGTGCGGGACTGGCTGTTCACAGGAGGCATCGAGGAAGCAATCGAAGTGGAAACGGAGCGCTCACATGCACAGTAAGCAAGCTATTTTCTAAAAACCTCCTTCAAGGTTTACATGGAGACGATGATTTATCGTTTCGAAACGGTCATTATTTTGGTGAATTTCAAGTAGTTAGGACCTGCTGTGAGTGAGCCGAGTGGTTAGAAACGGGACGAAGGACAGTGAGGGTGTGAGAGAGAGTTACAGCAAATAGGGAATACTTAAAATAAATGGTCATTTGAAAAGCATGCTTGTAAACGAGGTGAACAGCGACACGCACACGCGAAAAAGAATCTTTTAGCCGAAGTTTATGTCGAACTGTCAGCAATTGGGGAGGGGGGTGGAATGGGGGAAGGGCTTGTAAATGTTGTGCATGCGCGAGAAGGGATGAGTAAAGAGAGAGCGGGGGAGAGAAAGTTTTAACATTAAAGGTCTGGCCTGCAAAACTCTCCGGCTGTAAATGGAAATATCAGGATCCCATTAAACCATGACTGTTAGACTGGTCATTCCCGTACTGTGATGAATTTGTGTGTTTTATTCTTGTAAGTGAGTCTTTTTTGTGTAGGGCGGGTTCGGTTTTATTTTAAAACTAATCGTTGAGTTATTGGTATGTGATTGCCCGTTCGTTATGTACGTTTGGAACCTACAGTAATAATTTTAACCATAAAATGTTCTTTAGACTGCGTATGGACTATCCGCTGCGTCGTCCGGTGTTCCAATCACCACCTATTTGTTTCCCTTTCCCTCCTTTTTTTCTCATCTCTCTCCTCCTTTGCTTCCTTCTCTTTCTTTTCCTACCTGCGAACGTTTCATTATTAATACGTTGTCCCAGTCCACTATTACAACACCCTCATCTCTCCTCCCACCATCACCACCCCCGCCCTAGTTGAATCTTTCTATCATTGGGCATCATTGTGGGACAGCTGTGCTTACCACTATCGGTACAGGAGGCATCAATCCTCTCTCAGTGTTCCACTCAGACCGTTATTAATTGCCACTACAATGCTGATGATTTTTAACTAATAACAAAGTTGTAAATTAACGCGTTCCTTCAAATATTTCTAATTTGTCAACACTGATTGATTTGATTAATACTCCGCTGGTGTAGATAGTGTTGCAACCACGATATTGGCTATGTGACTATTAATGTAGACTGGTAGCTTTCTGTTAGGGCAAACTTAATGAAACAAATGCATTTTTTTTGTTATTGCTGTTGTTAATGGAACTATCACTGCAACCTTTAGTTAAAAAGCGATCGCAGGGTTAAGATTTCTATCGCAACAGAATGTAAAATGTCAATGTATTCTGCATGTCTGTCCACTACAGTGAGTGGTACAGTACAGCACTTATTAGAGTCCCATATTTATTTATTCAAGTCAACATTTCCATAGATACTTCACACGGCAGTTGCCTTGATCAATGTACCTTCCAATATATTTATTATTTTAAGAAATCACCCGAAGTGCTGTGCCGAGGTGCTGATGCTTCAATACGGCATGTAGAACACCTGGAAGTCAAGAGAATACTGTTAAACTTCGACCTCTGGTCCTTTGGTTTTTTTTTGGGATAAAGCCGGGGAGAGAGCGGTTTCAATCGTCTCAAAGGATGGTTAAAAAGCCTGAAAGAATAGCTCGCTCTGATGATGAACTTACTGCCAGCGTTAAGCCTTTAAGCCCTTTGGCGGATTCTGACACTTTTCTATTGGAAAACAGTAACTAAGATTTGCAAAGTTCCCTCGTTCTACGAACATCTATTGTTTCATTCTGTTTCCAGCGGCTTCACTCGGTTCTGACAATCTATTATTTATATACATATATAGTGTATCCATTTTTATTCCTAATTGCTTCAAAACTAAATCCAGGAACATCCAGCTCGCACGAATTTGGTGAATCTGCCATATTAAGTAGGAACAAGCAGCAATCTATTTTATTTTCTTTATCAGTCTTCAGATTACAAGTACAAACGTGCTTGTGCGAAACAAACTTTCTACAGAAATTAAACTTAAATGGAAGTTGCAACATCAATGGGACCATATATATATGAGGAATTCAATCTGCCGAGTATTGTGACTCGTTTTTAAATAGGTTGTATTTGTGTGCATGAAACCTTTGTCTGGGTTTGGGAGCAAAGCTTTTCAAGCAGACCTAGCGATAGTTCAGGGTCACTGGCAATTTACTGTCCCATTACTTTAAAGCCTGGCACCCCCAAAACTATTCAAGAAATAAGAAAATTGGAACGACTGCTAAATACTACTTTGACGATCTGCTCTCACATAACCTGCTGAAGAGTTCGGTTCATTTGAACAGAAATTATATCGAGACATTTCAGGGACACAAATGGCGCACATTGGGCGTTCACAGTATGAATGGAATATCTGACTATGTCATATAGTAGAACTCACACAAAATGCACTTCAACAGTAAACATTTTGTTCAAAGACATGAATCAGGGAAACGCATTTAAGTCTTTGTAATAAAGGTGCTATAAAATGTGTTTCAGCGAGTTGCTGGTGCATTATTTGCACTTCATGTTATATGATAATAGTAAGGAGAAGTCGGCTTCACGAAAATGCATTGGCCTAAATGATGTCCTGATTGATCGAGGGACATTTATTTATTGTTAAAAGCACAACCCTTAAAGCACAACAACATCCTTCAAGAACTCGCCTGCTTCTGAATGATCTGGTTCGTTTCTCCGTCTTGATTTGGTACTAAGGAGTAAAGAATCTACACATCAGGCCCAACAGAAAGTTTAGACTTCCATTATCATTCGCTTGGGAGTCAGAATAAGGAATCATATGGTGAAATAGCAAGTAGTTAATCCTTATAACATCCACTCAAATTTGGTTGTGAAATCGGTGGCCAGCAATAATTTATTTACAGAGTGAGTCACACATCTTGTCTATTGATGACATCTTCTTCACCCACATCTGCTTACTGCCTTCCAGTAACAAGCAGAATCTGTAAAACAGTTTCCATCCCTCCCCCCAAAAAAAGTCACACGCACTGAAGTCTTCGCGGATTTCTGTATTGCAGATTACGTACAATATAATCTTCAGTAAAATCATTGCCAAAATATGCAGAATATTTATTAGAAAGTGTGACAAGCCGTGAAAGTGTGGAAGTGTATCAGCTGGTGCCATGATTGTAGAATCACAATTAAATACATTTCATACTTCCACTTTCTAATTGAAAATTGTATGTTAAGTACAGCAACTAAATGGGGCTGAAATTATATCTCCAATTCTCCCGAATTATAAAAGCAGGGTTATGTTACAATTAAGTCCCCAATTAATTTGGTACAGTTAACTGATACTAATTCCCAAAAAAAACAAACCATTACAGCAGATTTTGATAAGTATCGCCGAATAGGAAAGAAACACAGGCGGTCATTGAAATCATAGAATGCTCTTTCTAATTAGGATCAATGCTATAGGGTTATATTTAAAACATTTAGCCCCCTCTACAGCATTACTTATCGTAGTTTTAGATTGACACTCTGGCTTTTAAGGCTCGAGCAGAGACTAATATTTATGTGTATGTTTGCAGTCATTTATTTAGCAATATAAAATCTGATTCGATTGTTAGGCAGATCATTTTATTGTATCAATACCTCACCAGGCACGATTTCTAAGCGATTAAAAAAATGGCTGCTCTGTGGCAGGTTATCAACTGCCGCCATGCCGTGGACGCGGATAAATGAGACTGTTTATTACTCGTATTAATAAATAATTCCGGCTAGCATTGTTCAGTATTTTAATCGTAATTTTCAGATTTTATTAAGAAGAACAAAACAATAACCAAAAAGAACTGCGTTGGAATTAAAACTAGTGAAATAACATGTATCTGCTGAGCAGTTAAAAACAATTTCATTCACTGGATATTATACCACTCTGCCGATATATCAAGGAAATAGTCAGGGCAGATTATTTGCTTTCATAAATTGACCGCGCTGAGCAGCTACCCAAGTAGACTGGCCTACATAGTTCCAGCATAATCAATGATCGCGGAGATATATTTAATATCCCAGAACATATTGATCTCAGATACTGCATGCATTTTATTTGTTCCTGTAGAATGACTTTTTTGGTATATATTGATGCACGTACTCTAAGTATATCTGGAATCTCGGTTCACCTTCTAGATGTCCATTGGATTGACCCCACAGCTCCGATCCTTTCCCAATATGACGTTCGAATAGACAACATGTACCTTAGTGCTTTGTCTGTTTGTGTTTTAATATGGATCCCTTTTTAATTTATGATTTGCCCCCCTCTCCCCGAAGATCCGACTATTAAACCGCGCTCAGAGTGAGTAGATTAAATCGAATCTGAGATTGGAATCCTGGCCCGTCACGTGACTCCGAACAATTGCATTTATTACAATATCAAGACAATCAAACATAAACCAAGTCTTATTAAAATATCGAACACACTGCATCCATTCAAATAGGCAGAGAACAAATGACTGAGATCGGGGCTGTTGTATTGTGTGAATAATATTTCATATCATTATAGTACGTTGTTCAATATATTAATAAAAATAACATGCTTATATATTTGTTTTAGAACTAGATACCATGGCATTGTGTTTACTAATCATCACGCGCATGATAGAAAAAAAAACGGTGGATCGGAGTCAGTAAATTTGCAACATATTGGGTACAGCATAGAGAAGCAGTGACGCCAAAGTTCTAACGTTTGCATCTTCTGAAACTGAAAATTGATTCGTACAACGATGCATTTTATTAAAAAAAGTCTTCCGAAATGGACTTATAACTCTTGGCTGTTGTAGTGTCTCTGAGAGCAATGATACGCACGCATATCTGCAGTAGGCCAAATTCGCTAGGTTACTGCATTAAATACTTCACGAATTAGAAATATATTTCAGGAGCGTTCCTAGAATTGATCCCGACGCTAAATATATATTCAGGTTTACCAAAAAAAAACGAGCTCCAGAATAATTTACATTAATACAGCAGAGGGGTTTTTATCAGTATGATAAAGAACTGAAAGAGTCCTCATTTCCTCTCAGAT